GCCCCGCCCGCACCTGGTTGGCTGCCATCGGCGAGTTGTTCTTGACCCACTCCTCCACGATCTTCACCACGGCTCGCAGGATCTTGGCGTCGGGCGACTTCTCGATGAGCGACGTGAGGATGGCCTGGATGAAGCTCTTGCGCATCTCCGTGCTCATCACCGCCAGCCGCGTCTTCACCAGCTCCAGGCTCAGCATCACCAGCTCGCTTGTTCCTGTGCGGGAGACGGGACGTGCCCACCATGCAGCCACCTCCGTGCGTTCTGCACATTTACACATACGGCGCGTGTACGTGCACAGGACGCACACACACACCACACGACCACCCGGGGATGGGGCGGTGCGGTTCAGAGGCACACCCTGCCATGCAGGAGACCCCAGTTCAATTCCTGGTCAGGGCACCTGGTGCACAGCACCGCCTACTGGCCAGTGGGGACCTATGTGTTACCATGACGCTGAACGGGTTTCAGCAGCTAATCCAGGCACACAGCACCAGGCAGAAAGGCCTGGTCACCTACTCTGAGGATCAGTCAGTGGGAAGCTTACAGATTACAACAGCCTGGTCTGTAACTGATCAAGGGGACAGGGCAGACCAGGGAGTGCTCTGCTCTCTCGTGCACAATCATTAAAGGGCAGACTGACCCTGGCCGCTCAGTTCTTATCCCCCTCACGGCTGCACCCACGGAGGGTGATCCTCTAAGAGCTCACCCAACAAAGGGGGCAAAGGAGATGCAGACGGTCCAGCACCATGCCCTGACTCACAGCCGTGACGTCTGTGTTACACACACACACACACACACACACGCACGCACGCGTGCTTCTTCAGAACCACTGCTCAGATCCAATATTCTCCACGCCACATGATGGTGCCAAGCAAACACCTACCCGTTTCCAGACCTCATTTGCCCAGATCTTAAAACAGGCTTGTTTTTAGAATGGGTCTTGGTCGGTTTTTAAGAGCCCGTCTGTTCTCAGCAAACACTAATGAGCTGCCCGTGAACAGGACCCTGTTCCTGTTAGAATCCCAGCACACCACCAGCTCTGTGCAGCGGCCACCTGCTCGGGCAGGGCTGTCACCTGAGGTAGCTTCTGTGCTTCCCGACGCCGCCTGCGGGTTCAGGTGCTCGCGGACCATCTTCTGGAGCGAGCGCATGAAGACGGAGATGAGCCGGTCGATGTAGCTCGGGTTGTTGCTGCAGGCCGACTTAAGGATCATCAGCGTGCCTGGGACGCAAGAGCCACCGGTCATGGCACAGCAAAGGGTAAAAAAAACAAGAACAAACAAGAATGTGCTGTTTAAAATACTGGACTATAGCCAGGAAACGAAACTAAACCCATCGCCGTCAAGCTGACCCCGGCCCGTGGGGAGCCTCCACGAGGTCTCGGAGACGGTGAAGCTTGACGAGCGAAGGCTGCCCACCTCTCCCGCAGAACGGCCAGGGGCAGGGGGGCGACCTGCTGAGGTATCCGTTAACCCAACAGCCCCAAATGCCAACATTACACAGGCCAGGTGGCATCTCCCATGACTTGAAGACCTGTTCACACTCTGTTCACGACTGCAGCAGCACCAACACCCATGAGAACCAGCATTAGCACTTTGGGGAGACTGACACGCCATGTCTGAATGTGGCCTTAAGTTAGGGTATGTCAGTTTTTGGTCTACTGACGTGTGTGAGAAGAAGAGAACCTCTGTTTCCTGTTACGGCCTCAGTTCTGTAGCTCTAAGCTCACTCTGCACTGTTTGAGCAATGTTGGCTCAGCTTTCACACAAACGACAGAAAGGTCTAAGGTGACCAGCACCACCAGGAAGGAACGAGCGCCTTAACATGAACCACCATACGCAATCAAGAGGCCAGCATTCCGTCAGGAAGAGTGTTCACTGGACAAGAGGATACAGGACAGAAAGACGAAAGGAAATGAGAAATAGAAGGGAGAAGTGGGAAGGATGCGGAATCAGTGTCAACATGTGTGAACCACCAAACGCAACGTGAAACTGCTCTGGAAACTTTCGCCCAAAGCACAGTAAAAACCCAACGTAAAAACCCTCAGTGGGACACGAACATCAAGTTCATGAAAAGAAAAGCCTGTCTTTCTCCACCGGCACTTTACCCCCACCCCCTTGGCAGGTGAAACAGACAGACAGACACACACACACACAGTGTGACATCTGTGCTCGTATCCCAGAGGACAATTCCAGGTCTGCTTTGTTCCCTTCTCAGCGACGGTGGGCCTACATGGCACAGTCGGGTCCTGAGCCCCCTTCCACCCGGTGATGATACTCGGAAAGGCATGCTGGCCGCTCCCGGCATCAGTAACCACATCTGCAGGGGAGCGTGGCCATGGGAGAAGACTTCCCCGGGCCCACCTCACCCTGGGCCACCCCCAGCCTGTGTCCAATGGTGGCTGCCTTCTGGCAAGTCCTTTGGACAATTCACTGGACATATATGATCGTAACACACATGTGATCCAAGTCCCCCTCCCTACACAAACTGACCTGGCGAGACCAGGGCAGCACTCACCGAAGAGCTGGGAGGGGTTGGCGCTGGTGGCCTTCTCATAGTTGGTGAGGCCCTCGTAGATGACCTTGCCCACGGCCGCGTACAGGCACTCCAGCTCCTCATACTTGGAGGCCACGCTGGAGGTACCTGGGGGTAGGACGGTGAGAAGTGGGTGCTGTAGCCTGGGCTCCCAGTCCACCCTGACCCCGGGGTGCTCACTGTGGGGACAAAACTGTTTCTGCAGCACCTAGCAAGACAGGTATATAAACTTTCCATGAAAAAACACAGCACCCCCACGTAGCCATGGGATCCCAGCCGTGTGTGTGCATGTGCGCCTCAGACCATGGGGTCAACAGGACCGGTGGGGGCTCCTCACTTCAGAGTGGGGGGCGGCCTCAGCCCTCCCGGGATGGCTCTAAGTCATGACACCCCAAATACAAGACTGTCAACTGTTCAGGGCTTGACAGACTTCAAGCCCTTGAGAGTGTAGGACCCTGCTTCTCTGTGCTTTCTTCTTTCTGCTGTGATTGGTCAAGTTTTACCACCACCAAAGGGGCACCAGCCACTCATAATCAAAAGAGCAACATAACCCTTGGGAGGAAGCACAGCAGGCAGAAAGGGCCAGGAGGGAAGGACGAGTGGAAATGAGAAACACAGAGAGGAAGTGGGAAGAGTGCAGTCACACTTTGGGAACTGTGATCAGCACCACGGAAGACATGCAGGAGTTGTCGAACGGAAAACCGAGCCACTCTGTAAACCTTCACCAAATCACAGCGGAAAGAAGAAAGCAAAGAGAAGCGGGGTCCCACTCGCTCACGGGCTCCCCACCAGCTTGCGGAGGGGACCTTCACGTACTCGGCTCTGTCGGGAAAATGCTCATGAGCCGTGAGAGGAGGCTGTGGACGGCTCGCAGGACTTTGGTGTTGCCGCAGGTCATGCAGGCCGCCACGCCGCGCTGCAGGGGCTTGAAGCTGCTGAGGATGGCCGGGGACTGCAGGACGGTCAGCAGGAAACTGAGCACTTCCAGCCCCGTGCAGATATTCCCATAGTTCACCTGGCTGGGCTGCTCCTGGAACAGAGAACACGCGCGCAGGGGCTGAGTGGGGGCCCTCCCTCCGGGACGGGACGACCACAGTCAAGCAAACAAAGCAGGAGGCCCCAGGCCAGGCCTATTTGGAGACTAAATGACAAAACAATAACGTTTGCTGTCTCCCCTTATCTCTGTTAGCTAAAACACAGGTACCTTTCCAAAAAGAACGACCTTTCAAATTGTCTTATAATGAAGTCGATCCAGTAATAGGTGATGTCACCATTTACGAGAAACAAAAACAAAGACACTCGCTTTGGCAGCACATCTACTAAAATTGCAACGATGCAGAGATTAGCATGGGCCTTGCACAAATGACTCATAAATTCATGAAGTGTTCCATATTCTTACAAGTAAAATCTCGGGGAGGGGCAAGGGGACCGTATACCAATGAAGTAGGAGCGAACTGGGGTGGGGGAGGGCAGGGAGAAAAGTACAACAATGAATGAATGGAAATGGAAAATCTCTGTAAATGTTCATTAAAATTAATAAAATAAAATTTAAAAACAAAAACAAATAAAAGCTCTCCTGACACACAAACACACACACGTAGAGAAACAAAGTGCAGAGTTGGTAGAAGAACTGCTTCTAGGGCGCTCTGGTGGCCTAGTGGCAAGAAGCTGCACTGCAATCCCAGAAGTAAGCGGTTTGAATCCACCAGATGCTCTGGTGGGGCAGTCTCCTCCTGTACCAGTCAGATCTGATTTGATGGTGCACATACAAAGAACAAAAAAAAAAAAATTTTAAAAATTTAAAAAAACCCCACACACCAGACTGTTTCATGAGACACCAGCGATGCTGTTCAGCTGTAGTGTTTATACACACCCCGCTCCCTTGTGTGTGTGCTGTGTGCACGGGGCGTGAGAACCACTGCATGATGGGAGACTGCTGGGAAACCAGCGTCAGCACGGACACTGCTTCCCAACGTGTCTGTGGATGAAGTGCCAGAGGCTGTCCTCCAGGGCTAAGTGCTCAACTATGGCTGTCCACCATGCCTGTACTCCCAAGCTGAGCTTTCAGCCACGGCTGTGTGCACAAGGAAAGTAATGCCGACTTTACAAGAGAAAAAGGAAGCCTGTCACCTAGAACGTGTGCCCCACACCAAGTGCCCGCTGCAGACCCAGCAGACCTTACATCCTGAGAGACAATACTGCCTACTCTTCGCAAAGACTTAAAACAGTTATGTGAGTCCTTGAGTCAAAAAATTTTAGAACACCTACTAAAGTTTTATAATCCTGATAGTTGTTGTTGTTAGGTGCCGTCGAGTCACTTGCAACTCAGAACGACCCTACGTACAATAGCCCTGAAACCAGCTCTATCCTTACTGTCTCTGACACACCTATCCTCGTTATCTCAGTCACCGTCAATCCATCTCATCACTGGTCTTCCTCTCTTTCTCCATCTCTCTACCTTTCTAAGCATAATGTTCAAGGACTGGTCCCTCCTTGCAACATGTCCAAAGTTTGTCAGACAAAGCTTCAAAATCCTTGCCTCCATATAGTAGCCTGGTTAGGGTGAACTTGCTAGTTCTCCTGGCAGTCCATGGTATATTCAATACTCTTCTCTACACCACAATAAGATAAACAATATAATTGAAAAATGGGCACAGAAAATTAACAGACACTTCACCAAAGGAAACATTCTGAGGGCAAAACAAAGGGTACCAGTTTTAAAAATGTCTGTAAAGTGAAAGAGAGCCAACATTCTGTTTTAAAGAGCCCAAGTGTTTGGGAGTCAGAGACAGGGGCTGAAGTCACAAATCCATTTCCAGGCGGTGAAACTGCAGCCCCTGACTCGCAGTCACATGGCCAAGAGGCGGCCGTAACCATGGGGTCTGCAGACAGGAGCCTGGACGGTCAGGCCCGGCGGGGCCCGGGCACCTACCACGGTCATCAGCAGCTTGTCGAACCACTGCAGCTTGAGCTCCGACTTGGACCACATGTCTGGCCGCAGGGCCGTTTTGAGGAGGTTGACGCAGCGTCGGGAAAGCACCTCCCCAGGTGAGCCTGAGGTGTTGGTGTTGTCGTTCACCTGGAAATGCAGTCCGTGAGGGCCCAGCTCCACAGGGGACCCGGCTCCCACCCATGCTGCACCCCCCGGCCTGGCTCTGCTCCTCATCTCATTCCCCTCCACGTTCTCAGTTCTGCGAACAGTGGTGAATGCACAACCACAGAGCATCCGTGTCCCCAACGCATCGTGGTGCCTGGCATGCTCTGAGCTCCCCCCGTGTTGGAAAGGCCATAAGGTTCTCTCAACACCAGGGTGGTTCACCAGCACCGCCAGGTGTACCAGATCGTGGGCAACGCCTGTGTGAACTCAAGATGCCCAAGCACAAGACCATGCTCAGGGAAATTTCATACAAAATGTAAAACGTGAAACTTTCAGAACTGGATTCTCAATCGCCCCAGGAACACATACACTGACGTGGGTGATAAACACCACTCGGCAGTCACACGGCAGCCACTAATCTGCATAAGCTCTGTCTGCGGCATCATCGCAGCCTTTTGCCACGTGAAGGGTGAGGAAAACAAAACAGAGGCTGAACCACTTTCCCAAGATCCCGGAACTACCCTCTCCCACTCATGCTAAGGTGCATGTTTTATTAAAACCAGTGTGAAATATACCGCGCGCAGATTACAGCACGGCAACCGCCATGGACTCAAAGGCCTTGGTATTAAAGTGATAGACCTTCTTTTCTGGCCCTGGCTTAGCGGTTTCGTTTCACTCTGTTGTGCAGAACCTCGAATCCATACCTGGCAGGCCACGCGGATGAGGAAGTTCACCACCGTGTCCGTGTGCTGCTTGTCAATGGGCTTGGCCAGAAGGGAGTCGGCTCCCGGCAGCGACTGGCTTCTCCCAAACACCTGCGGAAGGACTGTGGCTTAGGCAGGACAAGGATTCTGAACAAGGGCCTTCCAAAAGAGGGTGCCTCCTCATCAGTCAGCAAACAGGGGGACCACGCGGGCACCCTGGGCTGTGTGAGGGACACACTGACCACAGAAGAGCAGAGAACAAACAGCTACCACACAGAAAACACGACCTCGTGTGATATGAACCAGAACACAGGGGTGTGGCCAAGGATGGTCAGAAGATGGCTCAGGTGGTCACCAGGCTGAGCCGCAGCTCGCCGTCGGGACAAGGCTAGTCCATGTGACACGAGCCATGGGCAGTTCTGTCTGCCTGGGGCACAGGGCACAATGAGGGGCGCGATCACAAGCTGGTGACCACAGACACAAGCCCAGGCTGGGACGTCACTGCCTCGATGCTTTATGCAAGAAGAGACACTGATCTGTTCTTACAACGTCCATAGTTTCCCAAGAACCTTTAACAGTACAGAGGTCCCAAGTACGCTTTACCCAGCTTCCCTCCTTAAATTGAAAATGAAAAGTGCTCGGGGCCTCTCTGTGGAAACCATGCTGAGGTAGGAAGACTGGAGGGGAGCAGTGTAGCATTAGAAGCAGCGCCAGCAATCCCGCACTGGCTGAGGGAGGCTGGGACAAGGACTGCAGAGAAGGGAGAGAAAGTCAACGTGCCAGGCGGACGGACAGGCTCCGCTCCACCTGTGGACCAGATACGTGGGGAGCAGCAGAGTCCACAGGGTCCAGTGTTCTAAACTGAGCCTGGGAGGAGGCAGGTGCCATATATGATAACAGGATAGTGAGAAGAGGAGAGAAATCCAACCTCAGGCAGCCAACACATGATGCTTAACTAGCCAAGGTTACATTAACAGGCCACGGGGGGAAGCAGGACTCCAGCCAAGGTAGATTCAGGTGGCCTACAACTACACAAGGGTGAGGACAGGGATCCCCGACAGGGACCGTCGGGGTTGCCACACCACACAGAACAAGACAGATTTTCTTTCTGAGAAATCAAACCACAGTGTGGGTTCATATTCTCACACTCCTTCCTTATTTCTGATGCCTTTACTCAAATCATTGACCATGACCACCAGAGCACACCATGGCCGCCAGAGCGTACCATGGCAGAGCACGCACGCCGTGACCACCAGAGCGCACCATGACCACCACACGCTACTAAGACGGTGAGGAGAGCTCCATCTGGGGATGAGATGCGCTGGTGGGCGATGAGACACAGATTTCTTCCCGTGGAACACTGCCTGTGTTGCAGGGCTCAGCTCTGTCAGCTCGTGTGTACCATACAAGCTCATCCAGCAACCACAGCACTCCCCACAAAAAACCCTGGACCCCATCATCTTACCGCACTGATAGCTCCAGTGGCCGTCCTGAAGCGCTTCACTTCCTGGGCAGAGTCCACCGACAGGCCTCTCTTAATAGACGATGAGACTGAATTGACCCCTTCTCCACTTGAGCTGGGATCCATGTCTGAATCCGGCTGAAGAAACACACAGGCAAATAGGACTTTATGGACTGATTTCTAGAGAGAGCTCAGGCATGCAGCTGGGGACAGGAGGGGTCCGTGTGCCTACCTGCTGGTCCTTAATTCTCTGCAGCTCCCACTTGATGACCACTTCTGACAGGTCCACTGCCAGCCTCCTCTGCTCGATGGTGACGCTGGGCGTGAAGCCCAGTCTCTGCATGGCGCTGACCATGTGCTGCACCAGGTGGTGTCGGACTGGGTAGTACACCTGTGGGCAGCAGGGGTCAGCGTCACATCGGGTCTGACATACCTGTACATGCCAGGTACACGTGTGTGTACACACACATACCACGCTCGAGTATCTCAAAGTGTAACTTCAGCAAGTGTTCTGTCCCTTCCCTACAGGAATGGAGGAGCCCTGGTGGCAGAGCAGATGATGTGTTGGACTAGTAACAGAAAACCCAGCAGTTCAAATCCACCAGCCACTTTGTAGAGAAGATTCTGATTCCGTTCAGACTTGTAGCTTCAGAAACCCTGATGGCGGGCTGCTCTGTGGAATCCACCTGAGAGCCCTGGCTGCCCCGTGTGCCCGGGCCCTGGGCTGCCCAGTGTGACCGGGCCCTGGACTGCCCCATGTGCCCCGGGCACGCTCACTGCCTCTGCCCGAGTAGAGCCCTAGGTTGCCCCATGTGCCCAGACATGGTCACTGCCTCTGCCCAAGGACCAGCATTAACACTCATCTTCCGGCTTCTCCACGTCTGCGCAAGTTATATTACACTGTTGTCAGCTAAGGACACAACAACAGCACGATAAATCACGGTCATGACAAGACAGGACAGTGACACAAAGTGAGCCCGCTGTGGTGCCTCTGAAAACAATACACCAACACAGGGTTGTAAAAACCACTAAAAAAGCAAAGTATGCTGAAATCAGAGCAGCCCATTTGGATGAAGCCACGCACACAGGCACACGGGCGCCCGCAGCCAGAAAGCGCCACAGGAAGGCACAGGACCGCTCGCTCTGGCAGACGCACCCCAGGGCCTGCACACACACCTTGAAGTGCTGCACGATCAGATGCAGGATGTGTACCAGCTGCGGGACCGTGTGGCCCTCCTCCACAATGATCTTCCGGGTCCAGTGCGTAAGCATCTGGTGCCCGTCTTCCATCCTGGCTGGCACCGCGGGGGTCAGGATGGCCATGGCCTGTCTGACGATGGCCCGGGCCTCCATGGCGTGAGCCTTGAGGAGACTGTGGAATACCTGAGAAGAGCCGAGGAATCCTTGTGAGGTGCAGGCATGAAGGGCATAAGGGCTTAAGAGCGACAAGGACACAGGCAATCGCCCAGCTTAGGAACAAGGCAGGGCGCTTCTGAAAGACAATTTAAAAAACAACCAACCTCCACTTCACTGAAGAAGACATTCAGATGGCTAACAAGCACATGAAGAAATGTTCAAAATCCCTAGCTCTAAGAGAGATGCAAATTAAAACAACTATGAGATATCATCTCACCCCAG